TTAAATATCTAGCAACAGGCTGCTAGGGAGGGCCACAATATTCAGCAATCAGTGACAAGAGGCCAAAAGGGAGGTTCCATTTTAATCCCAGGGCTAGCATGTGTGCTGCCTAATTTCATTTCCTCTCCTCCCTATTTCTTTACAGCCCTGGCCCAGTGAGGCCCGGGAGCTCCCACTTTGCTGTGGGATCATGAGGGAAGACACTGCAGCAATGTAAAACATCTTTAACTGCAGGAACTCTCCAGAGTGCAGGGGCCTAAATTAATGGTATCTGGGGGGCCCAGTATCTGGCTGGGTGCCCTTCCTCCAGCTCTTCTGTCTGCCCCAGTATCCACATTGTTTGAGATGCACAGTGTGGGCCTGCAGGCTCAGCTCCTCAAACAAATGAGCCCAGGTGTGGGTGCCTGGGCATTTCCTGACAAACAGACTGCCTGCCTGGCATGCAAAGCCTGGGGAAGGAAACAGTAGCCAGCCACAACCTGGCCACCGCCCACCCTGCTCCCAGGCGCTGAAGAGGAGGCAGCACTAGGTGCCTGGAGCAGCAATCCTGGCTCTGGTCCCATCTCGGCCAGTGCTGTGTCCACTGCCCTCCCTCCCCAAGTCTCTGTCTGCCTTTCTGTTAAAGAAGACAAAGGAGAAGGAGGCACTTTTACTTTCTCAACAGTCGCCCCAGGAATTCCTCTTGGGGACAGCACTATGTTTATTTGGAAAAATAATATGTTGCTTTGCCTCTTGGGGTAAGGAATGAGACTCTGAGGAACAGGTTAATATCACAAAATACGGCTCCTGATCGGTTTTTCACAGAGCCTGCTGGGTCCTAATCATGGTGCCCCTTGGGGGTGCGCTGTGCCTCATGCTGGGTCTGAGTTTGGTATATGGGGACAGGAGCCTCTGCAAATCTAAAATGCTCTACATAATTAGGGGGCAGAAAATGGCAGATCCTGGGTGGATGTGGAGGGCCAGGGGCAGGCCTGAGAAGAGGAAGCTTGAGAGGCTGACTCTTGGTGGGGGCAGAGGAGATTAGAAACAGACCATGGAAGCCAGTGGTGCCAAGACAGAGGAGCTTCTGCTAGAGAAGACAAAGCTCATGGGGGTTTTCTTTTAAATGTCCTCTACTGAAGGATAACACACAAAGACAAAGCGCACAATCACACTGCCACCGTTCCACGGATCGCCGCGAGGTCAAGACCCGCAGAGCAGACTTCCAGGTGAGACACAGGCCGCTGCGGGATTTGCATGCCTCTCCCAGGAAACTCTCCCCACAAAGCTACCACCTCAGGGATGGTCTTTGCTGCCTTTAACGTCGCAGAAACAGAGTCATACAGTGTGTTATTTGGTGTCTGTCTCCTTTCACTCAGCATTACGTCTGTGAGATTCAGCCATGTTGCTGCACGCTAGCTATAGCCTTTTTATCCTCACGCCATAGAGAATTCTGTTGGCTGAGTAGCTCCCGATTTACTTACCTGTTCTACCTGGAAGAGCGCGTGGGTCATCCCCATTTTTTGACCATTTACGTAGTGCTGCTGCTCTGAATGTGCGCTTGTTGAACACGTGTACACACTGCCGCCGGTGTGTGCGCAGGAGTGGAAGGGCTGGATCATGGTCTGTGTGTGTGACGCTTACAGGACAATTTTTCTAAAGTTGCTGTGCAAGTTCACACCCTTCTAGCTTCGAGGGAAAGACACAGTTTACGCTGGGCACTGTCTGTCTCTCAGGATAGTCTTCCTGGTGGGTCTAAGGAGGTGACTGCTGTCACCTCCATTATATCTCCAGGGAAGTCCATGGAGCTCACAGATGCCCTTGGACAAGGGATTCTTTGGGAGAATCAAACGGGTGCCAAGCTCAACCCTCAACTGGGCCATGGAGGGAAGACAGAAGCTGCTCTCATGGAAGTGGGAGCAGAGGCTGAGAAGGGGTCTGACCTTTCCTCTGGATTCCAGAGGGGAGTGGCTCTATGTACCCCACCCTCCAACTCCTAAGTTCTAAGGACTCCTGAAATCACTGCCTCTCGCACACAGCTGGCTCTCGGGAAACTGCCCTGTGTCTCTGGTTGCCTCACCCAGTCTGTGGGGTACACTCATCTCTCTATCTCCTGCCTCTCCTTGATGCCCTCAATCTCTGCAACCCCAGCCCCAGCCCAGAGTAGAAGGCAGTAATGGCCAAGCCCAGTGCCTGCCAGTCGTCATGATGATGTGCAGCTGGAACTCCAGCAGGACCTCAGGCTGCATAGAGGCATGGTGCCCAGAACAAGGAGGAGACAGACCCACTCTCCTCCTCTCAGGCCCAGGACCAAGCTCCCCTCTGCCTGGGAGGCAAACAGACCACCCAGAATGTGCCCACAGTGGAGTGGCCAAGAGGAGGCCGACAGCTCAGTGGAGCAGGCAGTAATTCCTGAGCTCCTTCTGAGTGCCAGGCCCAGCTCCAGGTGCTGGGGACACCTCTGAACAACAGGGACCAGTACCATGCCCTCGTGGGAGATAGAGCCTGGTGATGCACAGCTGTAAAACCCCAGAATAAGGTCATTTTTGGAATTAATGAGAACTGTGAAGTAACTGAAGAGGAGTGATGGAAAAGAGTGTGGCTGGGGTGTGGGGGGTGGCACAGCAGTTTTAAGTAGGTAGGTCAGGGGAAATGTCATCTCTCAGGAGGTGACATTAGGAGGGAAATCCAGAGATGAGCCGATAGAAGAGACTGGGGAGGCTGGGTGCGGTGGCCCACTCCTGTAATCCCAGCACTTTGCAAGGCCAAGGTGGCAGATCACCTGAGGTTGGGAGTTCGAGACCAGCATGACCAACATGGAGAAACCCAGTCTCTACTAAAAATACAAAAAGTTAGCCAGGTGTGGTGGCATATGCCTGTAATCCCAGCTACTCAGGAGGCTGAGGTAGGAGAACCTGGGAGGCAGAGGTTGCAGTGAGTCGAGATCATGCCATTGCACTCTAGCCTGGGCAACAAAAGCAAAACTCTGTCTCCAAAAAAAAAGAAGAGAAGAGACTGGGGAAAGCATTCCAGGCAGAAGGAATTGCAAGTGCAGAGGCCTGGAGGCAGGAAACAACTTGGAATTTTCTGGAACCCGACAGAAGGCTAAAGAATAGGAGGCCTGATCAGGCAGAGCTTCGGGGGCTGCCCTTAAGAGGTTAAATTTCATTCTGAGGTCAATAGAAAGCCTCTGAAGGAAACATTTAGAAAAGGCATGGTGGACACCCCACACCCCAGCCTTGCTATCTCAGCAGCAGCCTGATGGGCCTCATACTGACAGGGTCCATCCTCAGGACAACTGCACACCCTTCCTGTTCAGCCTCAGGGCTTTCTCTGACAGCGGGGGAGCCCCTGCACCTACACCAGAGCTTAGTCCCCAGATGCAGGGGAATAATAAGCTCCAGCACAGCCACCCTCAAACACAGGACCAGCCATGGATAAATCCTCCGGCATCCGTGCTGCTTCAGGGCGACCCTGGAGACCTTCTGCATGTTTCTTGGGAGACCTGGCAGAAGAAAGCCCCCCAAGCTCATGGCAGCAGCCTCAGTGACATTAGCTTCCTCTTCCTTCCCCTCCTCACACTCCAGATGCTTCCGTCATACCTCCCAGGATTACCACCCAGATCCGCCATCTGCACCCAAACCCCTGCCACAGTCTCTTCTTGACAGGTGGCAATGGCACCATCCTACTGATGCTCTTATTGATGCTGGCCAGGCAGTGGGTAAGAGCGGGAAGGCGGGAAGCCCGGAGGCAGGTCAGGAGCTCCCCAGGTCATGCAGGGAGAAATGGGGTAGCCTGGATCACAGCAGTGGAGGTGGAGTGGAGGTTGCATCCAGGCTGTGTTTTGAAGACCTTACTTGGTGATGGTTTGGACGTGCTCAGCCAACAAGACTTTGAGGGTCCAGGACTGTTTTGCTTGGGCAAGTGGAGATTTGGGTCTCACTTACCCCACCCACAGTGTGAAAGATTGTCCTGGAGAAGAGGCATGACCATAGGCAGACAGGCTGAAGGCTTCAGCAATGAGGGCAGGGAACAGGCAGGGGGTGGGTGTCAACTGTATGCCAAGCATGCACTCATCTGCCTGTCCCATGAGGTAGCCACCAGCCTGTATGGTCCCCGGGTGCTTGAGACACTGGATCTCAAAGGCTGAGTGTAAGAAGAGAATGACAACTATCTCGTTAATGCTTTTTTACATTAAATATATTTTGAAATAATGTTTTGGATATATTAGATGAAATGCAAGTATTATTAGAAATTAATTCCACCTGTTTCTTTCTTCTGACTTCTTTAACAAGGTCCCTGGAAGATATAACACTACGCAGATGTAACTTACATCTGAGGCCCACGTCCTATTTCTATTGGCTGGAGCTGGGCTAGAGGGTGTAGGTCTACTTAACACTTAGGCCATGCAACATCATGTGAGGGGACTGATCCTGCCCATTTCCAAGCGGCAAGGCTGAAGTGCAGGGAAAGCAAAGCCCCAAAGTCCAAGCTTCTTTCTACACTGCATGCCCCTTAAGGGGCAGTGGCTTTTCATACTAGAGTTTCCACATGGCCAGTGTAAGGGCTCAAGCACAGGACAGAGGAGGCCAGTTTGGGGTAATTGACCTTGAAGGTCACATCCAGCCAGCCCTGACACTGTGCTTGGGGGTTGGCTTCTCCCCTCCCCCCATCACTCTCCAGGGGCCTCCTGACTTCAGGACGACTAATGGTCCCTCAGCCCCACCCGCCGTCTTCCCACTGTATCAATCCCCTGAGTTATTTATGAGAGCCATCAAAGTTAATTAATGCCGTAGTTACGAAGCCATCCCAATGTAATTATTGTGTAATTGGATTATAACTTAGGTAATTTCTGACAAACCACCTAATACTTATGCAAGAAAACCAGGGATTTTTACCGAGTGATTGATGGGGGTGTCAAGGCCAGATGGGGAGCTTAGGGACCGCATATGAGGTTGAGGAGGCTCCCCTGGAGGAAATCACAGCTTTTAGGCTGAGGTGCCCTGTCTGAGCTGGAGGGGAGAAAGGCAGATGTGTGGGGACTCCTCACCCCTAGCCTCAGGCCTTCCCTCCAGGCAGGGCCAGTTTGGGCCCACCCACAGCCTCCTTCCTCCCTGTTCCCATAAGCTCCGCCTCCACCTCCACGACACCATTGTGACCTGTTTATTCAAACTCAACTGTCCAAGTCACCTTCCCCACCCAGCCCTGCTCTGGCCCGTTCCTTGCATGAGGCCCTATGTGGCATGGTGTGACTCTGCCTGTCAGCTGCTCCGGTGCCACAAGTGGTTGGACAGTCAGCGACAGGAAGAAAAGTGGTCGGCCAGACGCAGAGAGAAGCAAACACGAGGTGGGTATGGCCGAGCCGTAATCCTTACTCGTGCTGAAAGTGTTACCAGGAAAGGGCCTAATGCAGACCCCAAGAGAGGGTTCTTGGATCTCGCACAAGAAAGAATTCTGGGCAGCTTCATACAGTAAACTGAAAGCAAATTTATTAGGAAAGTAAAGGAATAAAAGAATGGCTATTCCATAGCCCTACTGGTTACCCATTTTATGGTTATTTCTTGACTGTATGCTAAACAAGGTTACTAAACAATGCTACGATTGTTTACTATGCTAAACAATGGCTACTCGTTACCCATTTTTGTGGTTATTTCTTGATGATATGCTAAACAAGGGGTGGATTATTCATGAGTTTTCCAGGGAAAGGGGTGGGCAATTCCTGGAATTGAGGGTTCCTCCCCTTCTTAGACCATATAGGGTAGCTTCCTGACATTGCCATGGCATTTGTAAACAGTCATGGCACTGGCGGGAGTGTAGCAGTGAGATGACAAGAGGTCACTCTCATCACCATCTTGGTTTTGGTGGGATTTAGCCAGCTTCTTTACTGCAACCTGTTTTATAGGCAAGATCTTTATGACCTGTATCTTGTGCCAACTCTTTCTCATCCTGTGACTTAGAATGCTAACTTACTGGGAATGAAGGCCAGCAGGTCTTAGCCTCATTTTACCCAGGCCCTATTCAAGATGGAGTTGCTCTGGTTTAAATGCCTCTGACAAAGGGGTGAGCCAGGCCCTCCACTGCCTGGGACCAACAGCCTTCTAGATCCCCATGGGGCCAGCTGCTCTATGCTAAGAGCTTTAACCACACCCAGAGCAGCCTTCACAACCTGACTCATGCAGGCCACTGCCAGCCTGTATGATCTGACCGCACCAAAACTTCTGGGAGCCTCAGTTTCCTTATTTGCTAAAGGGAATAATACTAGCATGCTGCCTGACATGATTTGGATCCACGTCCCCACCCAAATCTCATGTTGAAACGTAATCCCTAATGCTGGAGGTAGGGTCTGGTGGGAGGTGAGGGGATCATGGGGGCGGTTTCTCTTCAATGGTTTAGCACCATCCTTCCTGGTGTTGCTATGAGTTCCCATAAGATCTGGTTGTTTAAAAGTGTGTAGCACCTCCTCCCTCACTCTGTCTTGCTCCTGCTCTCACCATGTGAGATGCCTCACCCCCTTTTTGCCTCCAGCCATGATTGGAAAGCTTTCTGAAGCATCCCCAGAAGCAGAAGCTGCTATGCTTCTCGGACAGCCTGTAGAACCATGAGCCAATTAAACATCTTTTCTTTATAAATTACTCAGTCTCAGGTATTTTTTACAGCAACGCAAGAACAGACTAATATAATGCCTTGTAAAGTTTGTGGTTGCAAGCAACAGAAAGCACCGCTAGCTAACTTAAGCAAAACAGGATCTCCTGAAAGGCTGCAGGGAAACTTAGATAATCAACAGATTTCCAAGAAAATGTAAGAAACAGAAACCAGCAAACTAGCAATGACCATGTGCTAGACAGTGTGCACTCACTGCCACCACCCACTACCTACGAGGTGCCTAGTAGGACCGAGGGTGGCAGGACACAGAACGAAGGGCAAAAGCTCCTTGGATGGGCCCTTCTACCAAGGCCATAGGTTCCACTATGCGGTTACTCCTTCAGCTTCTCTACAGAGAAGACTTCCCTTTGCCCCTCAGGTTGGGGTGGTGAGAGCTCCCACTGTTAGCATCGGGGTGCTGTATCACCCTTGTTGGTTTTCCTTATCCCTGTTCATGCACTAATTCACTGTCCTCTTGGAATTGTCCTCCATTAGTCCCTAAGGGTATACCACGTTTCCTGCTGGAACCCCAACTCACAAAGGCTCCTACCAATGCTGTGATATCACCACTCCCCACTCCATCCATCCCAGCTTCACCTCCTGGGTATCCGAAGTCCTAGGAGGGTGTCTGGTATCAGCTCTCCTCCTGACTGTCCCTAGAGTGGGAAGAGGAAAGATTTGCCCGTACCCCGCCTTAGTGTGTGCTGGTGACTGCCTGGAATTGCCCTTCACCTACTCACTTGACATAATAAGGATGGGTTGGTGTCCCAGAGGGGCCACAGGGAAGGAGGTTAGATGATGAGTATGAAAACTTGCTACTTCCTATTCTTTGCAATGGTAAACTCGTGTGTAGGAAATGCTTAGCCAGTGCCCGGTGCACAGTCGTGATCACAGGAAGTGATAGCTGCTGTTATTAGGCTCATTCAGGTGGAATCCTGAACAAGGTTTATCTTGACATCCTGAGATAAACTTTCTCCCTTGTGGCAGCCTAAGCAAGCCTCTGAGGCCCTGGCAGCCTTGCTTTATAGCCTCTTCTCATCACATGTCTTTGGCCCAGTACATGTGAGGAAGACATGAGGCTTGTCTGCGTGCAGTATCCACCCTTTGTCTGGGTGTGGGTCACTTCTCAAGATGTTCTTCCATTTCACAAGCATTGATTGAGTGATTTCTATGTACCAGGCTCTGTCCTGGGCACTAGGATAGGACAGAGAGCAGGGCCAATAAAGCTCCAGCCTGCAGAGCAATAGACACTGGACCTATGGTCAGAGGAGGGTGCCTAACTTGAGAGGACGTCTGCCCTGTGACCTGAAGGATGACCAGGAATTCATGGCATGTCTGGTGGCCCAAGTCATCCAGCCCTGAAAGTGTGTATTTCTCTAGCATTTCCTTTCTACTGTGTCCCCATCCTGTGCACAAGGGTGGGGCCAAAAAGTGTGCCAATCTCCAGGTCACTCCATTCCCAGCTGCTCATACTGGAGCCAGCTGAAGCCTGCTGACAGTCAGGGAGGGAGAAATATGAAGATGGAACTTCTAAGGGCTTCCTGGAGGAGGCTGAGGTTTGAAAGGCGATGAGAAGGGATTGGGGCAAAAACATTGCACTTGATGCTTCCTAAGCCACCAGCCATACATACCCTGTGACCAGGAGAATTCCCTGTGGGTTTAGGAGCAAGATCTCAGAAGGACTCTGGGGTGCTGGCCCAGCAAGGGGCTGTCGGAGGCTGGGTGCAGACTTGACCAGCCATAGGTCAGAGTCCAGTAGATACTGCCTGGAACATGCCATGCCAAAGTTTGGTCCGTGTTTTCTCCGTGTGCAGCACACACACCTTCAGACCTAATCTTTGTTGCATGTGCATCTGCTGTGATTGTATGTTAGCTCCAGCCAGGCTTGTACAACCAGAGAATTTCTAGGTTTCACGTTCAGTCCAGCCTTTAGTATGTTTTCTGGTAGGATCAAGTCATTTTCTCTCTAAAATTAATGTGCTTGGAAGCTGTTCTATTTAGGGTAGAGCCTCCAAGTGTAGTGTCTATGCCTGTTATATTTAGCTAAGGCATGACAGGCTTTGAGTCGTCATGACATGTTCCCTCAAGGCAGAGCCTGAGGCAAGGATTCAGGACACAAGATTTTCCGCAGCAGCGCTTCCTCAGTGAAGCCCTCATGGGAGGCAGGGGAGCAGGATAGGAAGGCAAGGGAAGGTCTTGGGGAAGGCCTGGCCTTGACCTGACTCACTGGGAGCCTTTGGAGAGTAAATCATGGCACAGTGAAGTTCTTCTGTTTATGGACAGGGCCAAGTAAGAGGTGCTGACAGGAGAAGAGACTGTCACCTGCTGGCTTTCTGTGGGCAGCAGCTCTCCGGCCCCTAGGGAAGTCTTTGGAGTTGTAAGCGCTGGTCACCCAGCAGCAGCTGGGGAAGGGGCCCATCTTCAGGCAAAGGGAGGCCTGGGTGAGGCCCAGCAGCACCTTCTGCAGCATCTTCTCATCATGCTGGGCCTCTTTTATTATTTTCTTTCCATATGCTTGAAAGACATATGTATCAGTCTCTTCCTCTACCACTTTCCCCCAAAACAATTCCAGCCTCTATCTAGCCTGGAGCCGCACACAGCAAAAGCATGCAAAGCATGTGGAGAGAGAACGATGAATCAAAAATATGAGTGCCTAGGACTGCTCCCTGAGTGCCCCCCAAGTTCCTGACTCTGTTGCCTGAAGTCCCTCCCTCCACTGAGGGGCTGGTGCAGAGGGCCAGAGGGCCAGGGGGCAGAGCTAGGCCTGGGGGCTTAACTAAGTGACCACAGGATTCAGAGCAGGCCAACTCCCCTGAGTGGGGCTCACTTTCCTCCCTCAGAGAGTGGGTAAAAATTTCCCCAGCCCCTCCAGGAGGGGCCTGTGAGGCAATGGAGAAAGCAAAAACACAGAGAGGAGATGTTGCTGGCCCATCCTCCACTGTGAGGGAGTGGTGGGAGAGGAGAGAGCAGGCCCAGTCTCAGCCTGACCCAAGTCCTCCACAGGTGGCAGGCAGGCAACCCCCCTTTAGCCCTGAGACACCCTTAGGAGTCAGATAAAGTCTGTACTAGGTGCTGAGGGCCTGTTGCCTTCTGGCTAGGCCTCAGCCCTGGAACCACACCTGATGCACTCTCCACATCCGGCCACTCCCCTGGTCCTGCAGGGGCTGGGGAAGCAGGGATGCTGGGAACATGCTGGATAGCCCCAGCCACAGCATCGCCCACAGCTGCATTCTTCCTCTGTGTGTAGGCAATGCTAAGCTCAGCCCCGGGCAGGCAGAGATGTACCGAAGGGGTGGAAGGGCAGGCCTGAGGCTTCGGGGTGGGGGGCAGGCCCACCCATGTTTCTGTGCACAGCAGTGTGTGAGCCACTGCACTGGCTGCAGAGTGACAGGGAAGACTGATACATCTCATGGGGCCCTCACAGAGTCCTACGTTTAATTAGGGAATGAATATACCCATTATTCTGAATATCTGTACAGCTTTGTAGGGTTTACCAGGATCTTTCATGCGTGCACACACTACCCTTGAATATCATTTGTGCAACATTTGGTATCTTTCCACACCATTCTAATGGAGGACTCTTATCCCCATTTTACAGATGAGGGAAAGCGAGGTCTGGAGCTCCAAGGTCACCCCATTAATAACGAGCACAGCCCAGACTCCGAATCAGGCCTTCAGACATTAAATTCCCATGCTTTCTGCTGAGCCATACTGAAATAGGAATTCATGAGGCTGATGTCTTGGAGGCGGTGGGACAATATCATAAATAACTTCAGGGGCTCTGGGCTTTCTTTTTTAATAATTGTTTTAGCAAAGTCAGAGGCATATAGAACATGCTGTTCTGCAGCCTGGTTTTTTTTTTCCCTTTACAGTATCTAGTGAACATTTCCCCACGTCGTTAAATATTCTTTTACTGGGCCATCATTTTTAATGGCTGCATGGTATTCCATCACATGGATGCCCCATAATTTATTTAACCAATCTCTGTGTTGGACCTTTAAGCTATTTCCAGTCTTTTGCCCTCATAAACAAGGCTGTGATGAGCACCCTTGCACATAAATCTTTGCACGCATTTCAAATTGCATCCTGAGGGTCAAAAGGATGCATTCTTTTTTAAAAGTATGCATTATTTTGATGTCTATTACCACATTTCCTGAGGTTGTTCATTTTCCCTTGTCCTCAAAGTGGTAATTTTTTTTAAATTTTAGAATACTCAAAATTTCAAAAATTGCATCAATTGTCGCCGATCAGTCAGGTCATCAGTTGTATGACTTTGGCAGGTTACCTGGCCTCTCTGACCTTCTATAAATTCATGTATCAAATGAGGGCTGGGCAAGCAGGTCCCTACATCTCCTTCTGCTCATAGAGCTCCAGGAGAGCCCCACACTGCTCAGTTTACAATACTCAGAAGAGAGGGAAAATGCTGAGGGCTTCCTGGGGGAAGTGGGGCCTATACTACCTGAGGAAGATGCTTAAGATTAGGAATGGGCATGGAGGGAGAATTGAGTCTGGGTGGAGTCCCAGCAGCCTCTGCTCTGTCAAGCTTAGAGATGAGCTTCTCCATTTGCCAGGGGCTGCCAGAGTCTGCTGCAGTGTCTTCCTGGAACCCAGTCATTTAGTTCCAGGAAGTAAATGGAACTAAATGGGGACAGGAGAAGTGTTAGGGACATCTGTACGTCACAGACTATTGTCTGGAACAACATAAGGACCTCTACTGGCTTCCCTTGCTGCCCTTTAAGGGAGTAAAACACCATCATTGGGAGCATGCAATTGGCTCCCATGAATAAGGATTCTGCCTCCAGGTATGGGGCAGAACCAGGTATAACCAGGTGTAATTTCTGGTTCTGATAAGTGGGACTTTGGCCAGGTGATACCACGTTATTTTTCCTCAGTTTCCAAGCTGAAGAGCAGAGGCATGTGATACCAACCACATTCATTCATGGACTCACTCATTGGTGGACCAGATGAGTTCCTCCTGTGGCTGGGCACTGTGCTAAATGCTGGGCGCTCCTTCAATCTGTGCAGAATCAGTGAGCTGGCACGGAGCTTACCCTCTGAGGGAGGCAGGCATTAAAGAAACCATTACTAAATAAATACACGCTTGCAAACAGATTTCCACAAGGCTCTGAGGAAGCACAGGAGCTATCAGAACATGAGGTGGGGAGTGGCAAATGATCCACCCTGGAGAGAGGGATCGGGAAAAGTGTCCAAGAAAAAAATGACATTTGTGATGAAAGATAAAGGGTAAGGAGTGGAGGGATGAAAGGTGAGGAGATGGGAATAGCATAGGAAGGGCCAGTGGCAGGAAGAAGGATGGGGCCATCAGGAGCCTCCAATGGCAGAGTAGCTGCTGCACAGGCCACTGGGAGGGTGAGCCCAGAGGAACAGAGAGACTGGCAGGGGCCCCTCCAGGCAAGGCCTCTGCCCAAGTCTGGGAAGGTAGCCCTGGAGAGCTGCCAGCAGGGATGGGCGCCCCAGACAGTGATGCTCAGGGCAGGGAAGGGGTGGGAAGAAATGGGCACAGAGGAGTGGAAGCCAGGGACTGAACTGTGTGGCACTCACCTGCTGGGGTGGGCAGCCAGGGTTGGGTTCCCACAGGTGCCAAGTGTGGAGGCTTCTCTTTCCTGAGAGCCACAGGAGCTGCGGACCGGGGAGGCTGTGGAGGAGAAGGTCAGTCTTTGATTTTCTCATCATTCAGTTTGTGGCGGGGGCAGGAGGTGGTGGCAGTGGTGACATGGTGGCCTGTCGTACCACCACCTGCTGCCCAGAGGCCTTTCTTCACCTCTGGTGGAATCAAACTTCACCTCTGGCCTCAGCCAGATAGTTCACACACACAAACACACACACACTCTCACGTGCAAAGGGCCACAGAGGACTTTACAGCCAGTCCAAGCAAAAAAAGGTATCCTCTATCCCACCTGCCAAGTTCTGACCTGAGGGGGACACTTAGGTGCAGTGCAGGCGCCCGGACAACGTGCTGGACCCCAAGCTGGTACTTCCACCAACGTCCTCAACTCTCACCATACTGGGAGGATTAGGCACCCCAATGTGGTAGATGGGGTGCCGCTTACCCACGGTCATGTAGCCAGCAGGTGGGGAAGGTGGCTTCAACTCAAACTTGTCAGCCACCCAACCCAGTACCTCTCAGGGTAATCCCAGATGCTGGCGGGATACACAAGGAAAGCTTAGAATCACACAAGAAGGGTGAGAGCAGGCAGCCTGGTCTGGGGCTAAAACTCCTGGGCTTGGAACTGACAGAGCTGCCCTCTCCTCCCCAGTGACTCACTCACTGACCTCGATTAATCTGACACAGCAGCTCTGTGTCTCAGTTTACCCATTTGGATGTCAAATGTCACACTCACAAAGAGGGGTGAGGACCATGGAGAAGTGTGTTTCAGAGGAAAACAAAAGTGTGGTACAAGCCACGAATGGTGTTGTTGGCCTCATTATTAATGTCATTAATAATGATGCTAGCAATAAATCGCCAGGCTGCTGAAACATGCACGAAGTAGAGGGCTGACGACTCATTTCCCTCGCACTTGTTTGGCGCACTGGGCTCCTTATGGCCTCTTCCCATCCATCACCCCTGCAGTCATCCTGAGGCCCACCCTGCAGGGAGGCTGGGCAGGGACTGAGGGAGGCAGGGTCTCCCGAGATCAGCCAGTGCTGCCCCCTGTGAACAGATGGGGACCTGACGCCAGGGAGTAGGGGACTTATCAGGATCCCCTAACCAGGGGAAGAGGGGCTGGGACGTGGGCCCAGCCTTCAGATTCTGATGCAACCCCTCCAGCTCCCCTCCACCAACCCTCTCCCACCACACCCCGGAAGGATTGACACCTTCAGCAAAGCGGTGGAGCGTCAGCAGCAAGGCCTCAGACTTCAGAGCAGAGCAGCAGGTGCGGAGGCAGGAAAAGCCCTTCACAAAGTCTTTGAGGAGGGGCTTCATCTGTAAGCTCTCTCTTTCCCACCTGCCTCTCCAGTCCCACCAGGAAGAGGCCCTGAGCATGGTGGGAAGGTGGAGAGAAATGAGAGCTGGCCTCTTAACTCCTGACACATTCCTCAGAGTCTTCTTAGGGCTCTGCCTCAATTTCCCCACCTTGGCAGAGTCCAGGGACATTGCTCCCTCAAGGAAGGAACAACCATCAAAGGAATCCCAGACTGAGCATTGAACGGGACACCGGAGGGAAGTGAAGGCTGCCTGGTCCCTCCTCCTGCCTCAAAGAGCCTTCAGGGAGGGATGGCCTTGTCTGGCTCCTCTGGTAAGTGGCGTCCTGGGGCCACTTGATGCTTCAGGCTTGTGTGTCTCCCTGCAGAGGGAGGGGCCCTGGAAAAGGAGGTTTGGACAGAGGAGCTCTCATTCCCACCCAGGGCTTCTCCCTCATATGAGCCACCTTCCTCCACTCAGTCTTATTTCCCCCTCTCCTCCCCACTCTCCCCATTTCTGAGTTTAGAATTTGTGAGCACCCCACTCTGAATCCAGCACCCTCACATACACACACATATACACAAGTGTCCCACACACTGCCCCTTTTGGAGGCCTCCAGTGGTTTCCCAGGGCCCTAAGGACAGAGCCTAAACTCCCCTTGAACCTATGTTCAAGACCTTTGTCATCCGTGATCATTCCGCAGCCACTGACTGCTGCTGCCCGAGGAATCCAGCCCTCTGGCCAAGACAAAACATCTGCTCTTCTCCAAGTGCCTGTTTCCCTGCCTCTACCCCCTGCCCCTACCCCCTGCCCTGCAGTCCCCTGACCAGAAGCCCCTCTCTCCACCTCTGTGGACCCAAGTCTTTCCCAAGCCCTTCAAAGGGCTCCAGACTTGCCCATTCCCCACACAGACCATCCCTGCACCATGAACCCCCAAGGCTCTTGTGCCTCCTCTCTGGCAGCACCTCCATATTTGACCTGAGTTCTGCCAAACGTGTGTGCTACTCCCCCTACACACACACACATACACACACACCCTAAGCCCTCGAGAGAAGAAATCTTATCCAGCCCAGGGAGTGTCATTCAGGAACTCACATACCAAAGGGATTCAATGACTCCCTGTTGCATCAAAACTGCATTAAACCATCCCAAACCCAGCAGTGCCACTCCTGGATATACACCCAATGGAAATGCATGCATATGGTCTTCACAATGTATGTACTGAAATGTTCAGAGCAACACTATACATAATAGCCAAAAACTGGAAATAAGTCATATCAATAGACATGAGAGTAGACAGATTGTGGAATACTATGCAGGAGTGAAAATGAACTGCTGCTGCCCACATCACACATGAATCACACAGACACAGTGTTGAGGGAAAGAAAGAGACATAGGAGAGGGCATACTACAGTTTATGATTCCAATTATAGAAAGTTCTAAATCGGACTAATAACATAAGGTGATAGAAGTCAGAATAGTGGCTTGGGGAAGGAAATGTCAGGGAGAGGCAGGAGGGAAACCTGGGGTGGCTGTAAATGTGCAGTTTATTCAGTAAGGTGGTGGTTTTAAAGCAGAATAGAATGCCCTGTGTGATATCACACAAATCACCTGACCTCTGAAGTTTTCATTTTCCCCAGTGTAAACGGGCCACAATGCCCATCCCCGCCTTCTTCTAGCTATCGAAAGCCTTTGTGAAAATGCACTAGGGGACTGGAGGGACAGAGTGTCCCAAAGCCTGAAAAGCTCCCAACATACAAACCAGTTTACCTTGACATTGTTCTGGGAAGGCAGCTAGTGCAATTCTGTCTGGCCTCAGATGGGCAGACATTTGCCTAGAAAATGACCTAGTGGCCTGGGGCACTAAGTACAGCTGCTCCTGCTCTCTGAGTTCAGTGGCATACTGATAATTGTTTAACAACTGGCATGGTGGTGGGGTTGGGGAACGAAAATGCCCTGGTTTGTCATGTTGGCCGATTCCTGTGGTGTAAATATTCCCACCATGGATAATTTCAAGCTACTGATGTGACGTTACTGAGCATGTTGTAGGGAAGACATGTGCATAATTGGTCCTTGTGAACTGGCATAAGCCAGCTCCAACATACCACTGGGTTAATCCTCCCAAAGCACAGCTTCCTGGGTCCAGTGTTGGAGGCAGGAGTCAGGGGTCTGAGGGGATGAGCTATGCAGGAGGCTTGGTCTATGAGAGGGTCCTCCATGGCATTCCCCCAACTCTCCCTTCAGAATGGCCACTTCTCTCTGCCAAATCATATTCCAATCTGGGCCCAGCCTTCTTCCCTCTTACTGTAGCCTCACTCCAGTCTCTCTCCAATCCACGTAAGTAATCTCTCACTGAAGTGCTTCAGCTCCTCTGAAGCTCTCAGATCCCTCCTCTCCTCCTCATCCATTGGCCTTCACAGTCCCAGTCCTTCCCGAGCCATCTTCCATATGACCTGCCCATGCAGCCTCTGTTCCGCCCCCCACTCCTGCTCCCAGGCAGGTTCTCCTCTACACAGTCATAGTGATCTTTATAAAACAAACATAACCGTAGCATGCCCTCCCCTGGAAACACCTCATGGCTTCCCACTGTCTACACAGGAGCCAAAAGCTTGTCAGCCTGGCATTCTTGATGGTCCTAACTAAGCATTCCCTACTCCTGGAGCGTCCACACACTCTCCTACAACCCTGTGCAAAGAGTCCCTGTATTATAGGACTCCTCAAAGGCTGTCTGTTTTCTGCTGGAATCCTGACAGATTTGAAGAGGGAGATCTATTTACCCACGGGATCTATCCCACATGGAACAGGCTACTTCAAGAGGTGGAGCTCCCTGTTTCTAGAGGTGATCAAGCAGAGGCTTGTCTGACATTTGTCAGATTTCAGTGTTAGTTGGGGCCTCAGTTAGAAGACCTTTACGGTCCCGAGCCACTGAGGAGCCCCTCCTCTTGTGTCTGCCTTGCTAAAAAGCATACGGCCCCACTGCCTCTGCTCCGTGCTTTGATGACCCATCATTGTCAGCAGTCATTGCCCTGGGCCAGGTTCTGTCGCAGCCTCTTACTGTCAGCCTCAGGCTTACACCCCAGGCACTGGGAAACACAGGGTAGAAGGGATTCTTCCCTTCCCCACATGCCTCCTCCTTTACTTCCAATCCAGCAGCAGGTAAGGTGGTAGAGGGAATACGGGAGGAGAGTCAAAGTGGAGAGGAAAACAGCCCCCAAGGACAGGAGACCCAGGATGGAGAATGTCATTTTAAAGATGGGGAAACTGAGTCCCAGAGTGACAGCACATGCCCCACAATTCTACAGGAACGTTGGTGCTCCCCTTTCCTGGCACCAGCCAAAGACCCCATCCTCTCCGACTGCCTTGTTGGTGTCATTGTCTGGATGTTGCAGGGTGCTTGCGGGATAATAATATGTCACTCCTGCTTATGCATCAGAGATGAAAGTCAGCCCAAGGAATCTAAACTGCGGTTTCTCCCCGCCACCCTTTCTCCCCAGGTGAAGAGGCTTTTGAGCAATGCGGAGAGGCGGTCTCCAGTCCTGAAACACGGGTTTGAGCTCAGCCCCGCCATTCCAGCTGTGTGCTCCTGGGAAAGTCACTCAAATTCTGCCCCTGAGCTTTCTCAGCTGTAAAAAGATGCTTACAGTGTCTAAGATGCTGTACCTGAATATATGTGAATCCCCCTTGCACAGTGCCCGGCTCTTGGTATGCTCACCCATGGCCACTTCCTTTCA